TGAGACTGATATTGCAACTGATTGTTTTCCTCTCTTGTGAAATGGAATCGGAATAATTGGCACCGGCGGACATTCTTGAAGGTATTTGATTGTAGTTTCTTCATTTGAATCATCTATGTTGATCTTATCTGATAGAGTTGATGACTTTGAATTAGAGAGTTTTTTATCTGGTATATGTGTATTACATAGAGAACTGTTAGATGATTTGAGGCAGAGTTTCTGGGTTCTGAGTTCTGATCACATGCTCTATCGAAAACCTAAATTGCTTCATTTTCTGAATTTTTTCCTATTATGAAAATTCATTTCGAAGTACAGCGTCTTCTGTAAATTTTCAGCATTCTACGTTCTACATTTCAGATACAGAATGGAAGTTTTCTGGAGCTGTACACGGATTGAAAAATTTAATACCTTTTAACATTTAATACGTTTAATAAAAACGTTACAAATGAATTTTCTTCTAATTAAACTATGAATTTTTCTGTCCTTGTTCGACAACCCAAATTATAGTTTCTGCTGTGGAAAATGAATTGAGCAACCTGAAGAAACTGCTTTCCAGTGGTTGGAGGGCTTGAGTGATATGGCTAGGAGGACAAAATAAAATGGTATCGTTATCGTCAGCAGTGTGAAACATATATATTGCGTTAGTGTCAGAGGGATGACCATCCAGAAGCAGAATTACTTTTCCATTTGGTTTATTGAATATGAAATGTTCCTTCAGTCACTTCTGGAATAACTCAGAATGAACGTTTTTGTGTATATAAACTTCTAATTCTGGTGGAAAAACATCCTGATATTCTGGTTTCTTGTTGATTCCCTCAATGATAAGAGCAGTAGGTAAAAAGTTATGTACAGCGATACAGCGTTACAGCAAGCTATTACCGAGAGAGTTTCACTATCTCGCTAGAAGTAATTGAATGTACTACTCTAGCGCATCTGTCAATCATGAATCAAACTCATCACTGTCAATATTGAAAATTCTATCCGGTTTACCCACTAAATCATGCTTTCTCATCACTTCAAGAAGAAAATCAAACATCTTATTAACTTCATTTCGATTTAGCGTCTGTGCTCTTGCAAAAAAATAATCCTTCAGACTAGCAAACACTGAGCTCTTCCTAACGCTCTAAGAATTATGTCAACCAATGCGGCCAAGACTTTCATTCTCCTGATCGAAATTTTTTTTCTACCCAGTTTTTCATCGAACTCGTATGCCAATCTACGTATCATATTTTTGGTTGGGAGAAAACCAAGTTTTCTCAATTTGTGAACACGCTTCACAAGACATTTTTTGTTGTTTAGATCCAAGAATGGGTGTTTCCCTATGAAAAACAATGTTTGGTGACAAGACTTGGGCAAACAATATAAAATTTCATTACCTAATGTATGTTTTTCGGTGTTTCTACTGGTGTATTTTCTCCTTAATATTCTCGACGGGTTTCCACGAGAATATTACGTTGATGCCGAGCATGCCTCTCGAAATCTTATCCATTTGAGCTTTCATACGTATTCTGTCCATTACGCTCTTGGAGAAGCTACTCTGTTTCTTACGTATTTGCAGCATTTCTGAAAATGAGAAATGATAACATGCATCTATTGCAAATCTCAAAATGAACCGTAGTGGATAGACGCCTCTTAGGGCATCTATACTCATGAAAATCGCGGCATCTATCTTTTTCATTAGGGATAGATGCCCCTTTCTCTTAAGAAGGTACAGACGAAACAATGACAAAACAAGAAACTGTATGTGAGACTCAATTCCTACACTTGGTAACGAAAATAAAATAGAGTCACTTACCTCTGAAAGTTGAAAGTTGCAGACATTTGTATAAAAACCAAATTCGAAATTGTACGATGATTTCAAGCGAGCGCTTGGAAATGTTTACATAGAACACGATAGGACAGTTTGAAGTGGCTGCACTCACACACTGACGAAGTGTGACGTGATGCTTTGTTCATAAGCATAATCTCTATGTTAAAAGTTTTACAAGTCTCGACACAAATTTTGAAGCCTCTATCCTAACAGGGCGATTATCCCACATTAACCCTATATGAACACTGCGAGAGAAATAATATAATTGCCGATCAACAGAAGGCATGTACGAAAAACTCTCTTGATTGTGAGGAACTATATATATATATATATATATATATATATATATATATATATATATATATATATATATATATATATATATATATATATATATATATATATATATATATATATATATATATATATATATATATATATATATATATATATAATGAAATGAAGTTTTTGTGAATATGGCACTGAATGAAATATTCAAGAAAATGAACACTAGAACATTCATTCAAAAAAAGTAAAAATTCCTTGCAGAACGAAACATATATCTCGCACTTCTATCAGGTGTGGCATCGAGTTCAATATTTCTCTAACATTTATCCCTTGAAGGATAATGGAGACATTACTTCGTACACGTACACATATCTAGGTCTACTATAACATTACTTTGTTCAATTCGAATTTTTCGAATGAATGTTCTAGTGCTCATTTTCTTATATATTCTTATATAGAAGAGAGCTTTCATTGCGCAAAAGAGTGTGATTGTTTCGTCTCCAACCCACTGAATCCTGTAGAAAATATTTTATAGAAAATAAAATACTAACTCTGCCCTCTATATTTATCCTCAAAGCAGCTATGTATGTGAGGCAAAACTTTGACTATTTCATTAATTTGGGGTATTATATAGCACTAGAAATGGTAACAAGTTACTTTTTCCTAAACATAAAAGTGCTTCATATGAGAAGAGCCACAAGTATGTATATGTACCCATCTACAGAAAATAATCAGCATATATTACTAATTTCAGTATTCTGAAAAAGTTCAAAAAAGAATTAAAATTATTTTGATCTTGTAGAGCCTTTTATACACTTCAGCAATTCTATTCAAGAATATCATAATCCTAAGGGTGAATTTTGATACTAGACTTCTTTTTGTGTGAGTGTAATGTATCTATATAGTCAATTGTTTATTATTATATCCATAAAATATAAGTACGAATTGAATTATTATTATCTATTATTATTATGAAGCTCAGAAAATTCTGCATTGGTTCTATTCTGGCAATCTTGATCTTCATTATATTCTTCATTTTATTTTGTTTTCTTGAAGTTTTGGTTTCACTGTGATATTCACATTCTCTGGCAGAGTATACGATCAGATTCCTTAATGAATTTGATTGAATATCCGCTGAACTCCTGGTGACACAACGTTCAGTATTCTGAATAAAAAACATCTAGCACAGTGCCAGGTGTTTGCAAATATTGCATCTTTGCAATTGAACACTAAGGTCTTTCCGACTATCAGACAATCGATAAATATCAATGAATATCAAAGTCTATTTGCTCATAAATACAACCATTTTCAATAAATGACTAGGAGGTTTCTATTACCCCGTTGGTGAAATATTACGTTGAAAAGAAAAAAATTAAATTAACACACCTGACGTATGTTTCACTAAATATGTTAAAAACTCTACATATGTTTCGGGTAGTTAACCAATTATCAGGAGCTTTTGAGTAAAATTGTATACTCATGGTAATGGGTTATCCACCCGTAACATATGTAGAGTTTTTGATATATTTAAGAAACTTAAGCCAACCGCGTTAATTTCAATTCATTCCTTTTACTTCTTTTATTACGACACGCAAATAACACGATACATAAAAATAGTTATTATTTCTCTAAACATTGAAAAGTACATGAGAAGATGATAATATGTGTACTTCAAAATTTAATTTCTCTCAGTTTTGACGAAATGTGTGTGACTTTCTGAAACATATCGGTCCCTACATACAAAAATTTGTGTATGACTTTGCACACAAAAAATACAATGTACATTCAAGGCTGGGAATATTTATACAATATCTTTTCTATAATTTGTTCTTTCGATTGAATCAAATTAATCAAAACCAAATGGAAATAAACACATTAAAAATTTCCATTCGTTAAACAAAATTTCAAAACAGAAGAAATGGTTGAATAATTCAATAAACTCGTTTCTATGTACTCATATATTTCGATCCAATGTTTTCAATGAAACACGATAGGAGAATTGAAGAAATGTTCAACTTGTCGAATGCGTTAGAGAAGGGACATTCTTACAATATTTGCAGAATTAATGCACTCTACTTAATCAAATATAGATTAGAAGAGTGATGTCCGGCTAGAAATGAGTAATTTCTTCCATGTTTGATAGACTCGCCCCGCATAAACTAATTAATTAACGTGGTCAATATTGATAAGACCAGTCCGTTATACATTTTCCATTAGCCTACTCAATGAATTATGGAAAATATGTCCGATGTGTACATGATATAATACATCCGATGTACCGAAATAAATACATGATGCAGTAACGACAGTAAATCAAATTTGGTTAGAGCTAACCCCAAATTCAACCGAATGACTCAGAGACAGAGAAATCGAATCAATTTTGTCGTGACCAACAGAATATTTCATTTCCACTCCCGAATATACAGGAGGATTATGGAATTAGAGGTGATTAGGCACAATAAAATACACATATTGTTTAGGATAACAATTACATTCGAAATTGCACTGTGTGTTCTAACGAACTGTAGAAATACCTACAGTACCTATCGCTATGAGTTTCAAAATAAAAGACCCTGATAAATTTATGACTATGACTCCTTCAGCATGAATATATATATATATATATATATATATATATATATATATATATATATATATATATATATATATATATATATATATATATATATATATATATATATATATATATATATATATATATATATATATATATATATATATATATATATATATATATATATACATATATATATATATATATATATATATATATATATATATATATATAAAATGTTTTTTTATAGTGGAAATTGAGAATCGAAATTTCACTATAAAGAAAAGAAAAAAAAACAAAAAAAGAGAAAGAGAAACAAAAGTTCACGACCTCGACTGGGTTACGAACCCAGGTTTTCAGATTTATGCCCTGTTGCTCTGAACCACTAAGCTACCGAGGTCTCCACCTCGAGATGCAACTTCGTCTCATATCTAGTTACTCTTTTCATTCGAAAGCTAGTTTTCAACGCTCGGGTTGTCGTCTTTCAAACTGCAAGGCGAAAGTGAGTAGACATCTTCCCATCCTCCCAGATGTATTAATTTTCATTACGGAACATGACACTTAAAGTGAAGTAATTATTATTCGCGCTAACCACGCACGTACGAAACATATTATATATGAAGAAATGTTGAATATAAACTAAAATTCAAACACTATATCTTCTGATTCACACTTTATTGACAACATAGCATGACGCGTTTCGTCGTTTCAAACGACTTCTTCAGATAACAGATTACTGAAGTAAAAAATGTAACATGTGTCAGTGATGTGCACACTGTGTCTGATTGACAACCGGCAAAATTTTGCCGGTTGTCAATCAACTAACCTGGTTATTAACCTCGATATTGTAATAAGTATTTTGATGATTGTTAGCTTTTTAAAGGAAAATCTGAATATTTTATTATTGTGTATTTTCGACGTCCGAGACACCCGTCTCTTGTAGATGAGTTTTCTTCGTGTGTTTTTTGGTCTTTACCACAGGTCAAATGTAAGTGTTTCCAATGCAGTTTTGTTGAATTGTATTTTTATATTTGAATTTTTAGCATCCTGGTGAAGGACCGCATTAGTGTCCGAAATATAGATGACAGATTGAAGATTGTGTGTTCTTAATTTCGCCTCTACTGCCGAGTACCCAAAGAAGAAAAATTCAAATAATAGACGATACGGCAACTTTTCTTAATAATATATATATATATATATATATATATATATATATATATATATATATATATGTATATATATATATATATATATATATATATATATATGTCAAATTGAAATTCTCTCCAGAAAAGTCCCTTAAAATGCAAATAGTTCATGTTTCCTCGACAATTTTCAAATAATTTCAATACTGATAGATGTTGTTCATTTAGTTTCAACTCTTCATTTTAGAAAGATTGCTTGATGATTCCAAAATACTTTTACAATCTATTATTATAGTACATTTCTGGTCAATTTCCTCAGGGAATATGAATCCGATAAAACTTCTTCATTTAAACGATTCCAACTGCTCAGACCGCCCAAATCCTTTCATAAATTTTAATCTTGTTCGATTTGTGAATTACCATAAAACGCCTATATATCTCCGCTTCGTGCATTATTCAACGCATCAATTGAAATTCACTTCACATTTCGATCTAACGTAACATCCACGAACACATACTATCGACATAATTGCCCCAATTCGTCCGGAACTCACCCCTATCAAATTTAGCATCATTAGGGGCGAACCACCTCTACTTTTCATGATTAGTCATATTGCACCCGTTAAAAATATTACGTTTTCCATCGAGCCGCCCAAATATGACGGCTACGAGAATGACAACATTCGAAATTTTCATTTCGATAGTGCATAATCATAATATTATGAAATGTTTAACACGTCAAAAGTTTCTGAGTGATTAGATGTGGCAATATCGACGCATCGTGTTTTCATTCTCATTATATATGTAATATATATACGATGTAATATATATTCAATGTAGATCTATTCTTGTGCTTTTCATTGATTCTAAGATTTGAGATGTACATTAGTCTATGCTTTATATATGCACACCACTTACTCTATATTTCAGCCTTACAATTGATGAGAGGGTATGTGACGATTGAAACCGTTGCCTTTCATTCGTTGAAAGTGGCGTGACTGATGAGTTGTACCTATTGTATCCACTGTAGGATCAGCTACTTCAGATCTGAGCGAATATATGGCATTGATGTTGTCACAAGCCTTCTCAGTTTACCATATTTATGTCATAAAAGATTCATTTCAATTTAGTGATAGAGTTAATGAATTTCAGTTACCAGATGGATACAAGATTATTTCGTTGGATGTGATTAACCTGTTCACTAATATTTCCATTGATAGCATTTTGAAGGTTATAGAAAGAGAATGGGACAGGACTGTTGGTGTAACAACCATAGATTTTGAGATGTTTTGCATTGTGATGAGATTTTTGTATCTCAATCTTTCGATCTTCCAATGTACCATTTATTCACAGATTTTTGGATGTCCGATGGGTAGCAAATTGAGCCCTATATTAGCGTCTATTACTATGTCTACACTTCTGAGAAGCTGTATACCACAATTATCGTTCCAGTTACCTTTATTATATCAGTATGTGGACGATCTCATCTTATTTCCTAACAGTGGAACAGAATAAATTCTTACAATCTTCAATGCTTTCGATCAACATATCAACTTCACAGTTAGGGAAGAGAGTGATAATTGTGTCTTCTTTTGATACACCAAAGGAATAAAACGAATACAAATATTATCAAACTGGATTGGTTCCAAAAAAAGACTTCATCGGGAAGGTATATCCACGCAAGATTAAATCACACTTGGGGTATAAAAATCAACTTGATTAAGCGGATGTTACATAAGGTTAGATCTATATGTCATCCTCAATACCTCAGATTTAATGAAATTAGGCTCTTTAATATGTTTTTAGAAAACGGATACTCGAGATCTTTTGTGACGAAATGTAATAAGCACTATTCAACGACCGTTTTTTACAGGCCTATTGATGACACTACTGTGAACAATGATGTTCCTCAAGAAACTAGTTCCATCCGGTATGTTTCGTTGCCATTCATTCATGGTTTGACACAGAGGTTGACCTGTACTCTTGGTGGTGTTTCCAATATAAAAGTTGCCCGACATAATCCATTTTCTGTTCGTAACCCCTTCAATCAGTTGAAACACAAAACGTCAACACTAGCCATGTCGGATTGCATTTATCGCATACATTGCAAGAATTGTCAGGCAGTTTACATCAGTCAGACGACCCATTGCTTAAAAAGGAGGTGAGCTATCCATAGAAGTGATGCCAGATTGCAACCACAAAGATGCGCACTGAGAAATCATGCGTTTTCTTTAGAGCATAAGTTTGATTTTGAAGATCCAAAAATTCCTTCAATCGAATGTAACTACAAGAAAAGAACCTTCTTGGAGATGTGATACATTAAAAATACTCCTAACAACATTAACGAAAGAACAGATATTGAGAGTCTTAGTTGTGTTTACAGCTACTTGTTATCGTTGGATGAGCCTGGCCAAATTTCCAATGGCTAGGATCATCGGTGTTGTTGATCGTTTTCTGTGTCAATACAGTTTTGTACGTTGATGTGTTTTACTATATGTTTTATGGTTGAACTTCGATTTAGGAGTTTATGTACATGTCATTTATATATCGTACGTCGTTAACACTGCTGCTAGTACTTTTGATATTATTATAATAATTATTGGATGCCTTTTGTATTGTTTTTGTTGGCTTATTGACTTGTGTCAGATGTAGGTTTCCCTTGTTCTACAAGTTGTAACTGATTGATTAACAACTGTCTATACTTTTAGTATTCCAGAGGAAGAACGAAATTCATTCAAAATATAGAATTGCTGACGATTAGTATTAGTATTAGTATATGTTTGTAAATGACATATTAAACAAGTTGCTCTACATTCGTAATGTATGAGTAATATACTAGAATACAACCGTACTATTCTCTCATATCTGCTTCAAACTAAATATCCGATTGAAAAAAAATTTTATCTAGTACTGAAATATGTACTTTTTGATGAAACAACAACAATTTCAAATTCCTAATTACACGCTATGAAGGTTCTTATCTGAAACTGTATATCAAAACAGTAGGCCGTCATTGAAATTTGTGTCATGTCCGATGCAATTTTCGTGCTCGTGTCATACGTGGCGTATCAGAGCTATAATGATAATACCCATATCATTGTGTTTTCCCGGAGAACGGTGCCCCTGGGTGGAAGTCCATTATTGTCTGTATCGCTGGTTCAAATGAAAATTGCAATTTACGGATATTGCAAATAGAAAGTGCTCGGGTTTATAGTGTTCTTTCCAGTTGGCAAGATTAGGACGAAAATTGAACAACTTTTCGTGACACACTAAACTATGAAATCAAGAGAAGGAATTAAATGAAAATGAAAACTACATTAACCTCTCTTTTGTTCACTTCCTTTCATACATTTATGAGATTATAAAAAAATTATTGAATCCAGCAAGGAAATAAATAGTTACAGAAATCGTTGTTGTTGAAAAAGCAAAAAGAATCGTGGTTTAAACTTTTTGACTCTACGATGATACAATGCAAATTTTCAATTCGTGTCAAAGTTTCGCTTCTGATTGAAGATTTGTCAAATATTTCTGATAAACAATCAATAATTAAAGTTTTGTATGTGGTCCTTTTGATTAATCAGATGGAAAAACCAGTTCGCCTACATAAGATGAATATTCAGATATGATTTTTTGTGTTGGAATTGTATTTGATTTTAATATACTAATTATTGACTTGATTTCTTCGATAAAGCATGAGGCTGTATAAGTAATTATATATTCGAAGATATATCAATGTATGTGTTTTGATGTACTTTTATATTTGATATATTCAGTGTATCATAATAAATTGAAAAAATAATTTCTATGATTTTTGACATTGATGCTGCACTCTGCAACCTCTCTGAAAAACATTCATGAAAACCCAATTTTCCATTTTTTCAGTTGCTCAAACTACCGTATAGAGATTGCATTCACATTTTTCAGTCATTATCTATAGAACTAGAGAACTTATGGATAACAATGCTTTGTTCTGTTTTCAGAGTGACCTTTGATAATGGTAATGACCGCTCGAAATACGTTGACTCAACTTTATTAATTTTATTGTATAATTTTTCAACATATTTTCAAACATTCAGCCCATAGTTTAATTCAATTCAATATATTCTGTAGAACAAATGCAAAGGTATATCAAATATCTCATATATTAGACATATAAATATTCCTGATTGTTAAATTTAATTGTGATATTACTGGTTTAATGAGGTTGCTAGTGAAATTTAATCGATGGGATTAATCAAAATAGGAGATTAATCGA